TGGTAATAACTTGTGTAATTTATATTGTATATTTGTTATACAGGTACTTCATGATTTTCGTGCCATTTACAGGTATTGACAATCATAAAAAGTGTGTCACTTTTGCAGTTGGGCTGCTTTCTAGTGAATCAATAGAATCGTATAAATGGTTGTTAATGGCTTTTAAAACGACTTTTGGACGAGAACCAACTGTGTTGATGACAGATCAAGACGCAGCCATCAAGCAAGCGATTCCAGCAGTTTTCTCACCATCTTGTAGGCATCGATTGTGTATGTGGCACATATCACAAAAGTTCACCGACAAGGTAAACAATATACCCTCAAAATAGTATGTATATATGGGAATATTTAGTTAGTGTAACTGAATCGACACTTAAAATTAGTATTAAAAGCGTATAGGCATTGAAGAATATTAAGTTAGTGAAACCGAATCACGTTTTGCATGAAGCACTTTAGTTCTAGTACTAAATTCAGTTGGAACCACAAGTAGCTTGGAAGTGAATCACCTAAGAACTGAATCACCTGTTACCAAAAGAAATTTAGATGAAGCATCACGTAAAATCGTATGTATGTATAGAAATATTAAGGTATTCATGACTGAATCATGTTTTGCATGAAGCAATTAAGTGTTGGAACTTGAATCACTGGGCAAAACTCAATTCAGTTGGAATCACATTTTGCTTAGAACTGTTAGTTAGTATATTCAAATGAAATGGTTCAATTTTAACTATTGAAGCACCTATTACCAAACAAGATTTGTTGAAGCATCAGTTAATATTGTATGCACGTATAGGAATATTAAGTTAGAGTGACTGAATCATGTTTTGCATGAAGCACATAAGTGCCAGTACTTGAATCACTTGGCATAACTCATTTAAGTATGGGATCACATTGTACTTGGAAGTGTAGGTTAGTATATATGAATGAAAAGATTAAGTTTTTGCATTGAAGCACCTGTTACCAAATAAACTTTGTTGAAGCATCGGATAATATCGTATGTAAGTTAGTGTGACTGAGTCATGTTTTGGCTGATGCGCTTAAGTGCTAGTACTTGAATCACTAGGCATAACTCAATTCTGTTATAATCACATTCTGCTTGGAACTCAACTCTATTGAAGCACCTTTGACCAAACAAATTTAGTTGAAGCATCACTTAAAATCGTATCTATACATAGGAATAGTAAGGTAGTGTAATTGAATGATGTGTTACATGAAGCACATAAGTGTCGGTACTTGAATCACTAGCTAGAAATCTATTCATATGGAATCATAATTTGATTGGAAGTGTAAGTTAGTATGTAAAAATGAAATGATTCTATTTTTTTTTTTTTTTCTGTTGAAGCGCCTTGGACCAAAAAAGTACTTAGTTGAAGCGTCATGTATAATCATATATAAATATAGGAATATTAAGGTAGGTGTGACTGAATCATGTTTTGCATGAAGCACTTAAGTGTCAGTACTTGAATCATTAGGCATAACTCAATTCAGTTGGGATCACATTGCACTTGGAAGTGTAAGTTAGTATATATAAATGAAGTGGGTCAATTTTTTCTATTGAAGCACCTGTTGCCAAAAAATACTTAGTTGAAACATCACTTAAAATCATATGTAGATATGGGAATATTAATGTAGATGTAACTGAATATATAAATGAGATGATTCAATTTTTTCTATTGAAACAGCTGTTATCAAACAAACTTAGTTCAAGCATCACTTACAATCATATGTATTTGGAAGTGTAAGTGCTGGTTACTTGAATCACTAGACATAAGTCAATTTAGTTGGAATGACATTGTATTTGGAAGTGTAAGTTGGTACTTATAAATGAAATGATTCATTTTTTGTCAGAAAAACTAATGATGATTGCCCATTGCTTTTTCAGTTGGGTTCCCATATGTCAAAGACGGGAGTTTTGCAACGATTAAACAATGTTATATGGAATGAACGAATCAATACAAGCGAGTTTGAAATAGAATGGCAAAGGATAATGGATGAGTATGAGTTAAATGATAACAAATGGTTTAAAGATATGTTTGCAATTCGTGATAAATGGATTCCTGCCTATTTCAAGGATTGCCACTTGTCAGGGTTAATGCGAACGACATCAAGATGTGAAGGTGAAAATTATTTCTATGGGTTGATGACAAATACAGATTTGCATTTAATTGAGTTTCTCGGTCATTTTGAAACGGCAATGGAAGCACAACGTTGTGTTCAACGTAAAAATAATCATGACTCCCGCTACACGAATCCTAATATTAAAACAAACTTGTTGATTGAAGAGGAGGCATCTGAGACCTTTACACGAACTGTTTTCTTTGAAATCCAAAAGGCACGAACTGTTTTCTGTTATAATCACATTCTGCTTGGAACTCAACTCTATTGAAGCACCTTTGACCAAACAAATTTAGTTGAAGCATCACTTAAAATCGTATCTATACATAGGAATAGTAAGGTAGTGTAATTGAATGATGTGTTACATGAAGCACATAAGTGTCGGTACTTGAATCACTAGCTAGAAATCTATTCATATGGAATCATAATTTGATTGGAAGTGTAAGTTAGTATGTAAAAATGAAATGATTCTATTTTTTTTTTTTTTCTGTTGAAGCGCCTTGGACCAAAAAAGTACTTAGTTGAAGCGTCATGTATAATCATATATAAATATAGGAATATTAAGGTAGGTGTGACTGAATCATGTTTTGCATGAAGCACTTAAGTGTCAGTACTTGAATCATTAGGCATAACTCAATTCAGTTGGGATCACATTGCACTTGGAAGTGTAAGTTAGTATATATAAATGAAGTGGGTCAATTTTTTCTATTGAAGCACCTGTTGCCAAAAAATACTTAGTTGAAACATCACTTAAAATCATATGTAGATATGGGAATATTAATGTAGATGTAACTGAATATATAAATGAGATGATTCAATTTTTTCTATTGAAACAGCTGTTATCAAACAAACTTAGTTCAAGCATCACTTACAATCATATGTATTTGGAAGTGTAAGTGCTGGTTACTTGAATCACTAGACATAAGTCAATTTAGTTGGAATGACATTGTATTTGGAAGTGTAAGTTGGTACTTATAAATGAAATGATTCATTTTTTGTCAGAAAAACTAATGATGATTGCCCATTGCTTTTTCAGTTGGGTTCCCATATGTCAAAGACGGGAGTTTTGCAACGATTAAACAATGTTATATGGAATGAACGAATCAATACAAGCGAGTTTGAAATAGAATGGCAAAGGATAATGGATGAGTATGAGTTAAATGATAACAAATGGTTTAAAGATATGTTTGCAATTCGTGATAAATGGATTCCTGCCTATTTCAAGGATTGCCACTTGTCAGGGTTAATGCGAACGACATCAAGATGTGAAGGTGAAAATTATTTCTATGGGTTGATGACAAATACAAATTTGCATTTAATTGAGTTTCTCGGTCATTTTGAAACGGCAATGGAAGCACAACGTTGTGTTCAACGTAAAAATAATCATGACTCCCGCTACACGAATCCTAATATTAAAACAAACTTGTTGATTGAAGAGGAGGCATCTGAGACCTTTACACGAACTGTTTTCTTTGAAATCCAAAAGGAGATAATGGCATCCATGCTTACATGTTACTCAATTAAAGTCGAAGAATATGACGGAATTAATAAATTCAGCATCAAAGATACTGATAAAGACGTTAAGCATTTTGGTGTTTTTGAGGTATGTAAATTGTACTTGGTTGTATCTAGAAACTTTTTTAAAGAAAACGAATTTTAATACTTTGTTATACTGACAGGTTTCATTCATGAAATCTGATTGCACAGTTACTTGCTCTTGTTTACGCTTTGAATTAACCGGGTGCCTATGTAGACACTGCTTTTATGTATTAAGGATGTCAGGAGTAGAACATTTCCCTAGAAAATATGTTTCAAGAAGATGGACAAAGGATGTGGTATCGACGCCATCAAGTGGGTATAATATGTGTCAGTCTGTTAAAGATGATGCAAATGATGATTTTAAATCAATGATCCGGGACATATACTATTCTGTTGACTATTGTGTTGATCGGCTAGTTTCTGATATGGAAAAGTTGAAGTTGTATCGAGAGAAACTAAGGGAGATGACGCAAGAAGTTGATGAAGATACAAGAAGTGTACAACCCATGACGAACAAGGGCTTCATTGAAGCGGTGTTTGGTGTCGAGAAGCGAGATGAAGTAAATGTTAAAATTCCAGAAGGAATTAGAAACAAAGGTAGTGGGCCGGTTAAGAAAAGGATGATAGGAGAAAAAGAGATGGCGATTTTGAAGGCTAAAAAGGGTTCGAGAAAATGTGGACGATGCGGGGAGTATGTTGATCATAATGCTCGCACTTGCAAGAAAAAAGCAAATGACTATGCTTCTAAATAGTTTGGTTTATTTTTTCTTCTTAATTATTAAGTATTCAAGATAGCAATGTTACTTTACGAGTTAACGTGAGTCTTTGAGTTTAAAATTTAGAAGCATTTTATTTTTAATGCAGAGACTTAGAGGATTTTTATTTTTAAGATATTAGTATCTATGTGTGAATCAAATGTTGTGGTCGCTGGAACGCATACATGATAAGTGATAAATGTTGTGTGAATCAAATTTTATTTTTAATTTTATGTTTTTAATGCAGGTGAGTCATACGTAGATCTAGATTGCAGAATGTGATTGGAAGGTGTAATTGCCATAAAATATGAAATCAGTTTTAACTGTCATGATGGCTTAAAGTTAGTGATAAGAAGAATTCCTTCAATTAAATTTTTGTTATTTGTTTTCCATGGGAGTGTAAGTGTCATGAATAGTGTAATGTAAGTGTCCTGAATAGTCAAATGTAAGTGTGATGAATAATCAAAAGTTGCATTTAATAACAATATTGTTGTAACTTTGTTTCAAAATTGATAGTAAAAAAATGTGTAAATGGTATTAAAAAGGTAAATTGTAGTAAATATCAAACACAAATAATAAATTAATAAAAAATATTGTAATTGAAGATTGGTCACTTAAAATTAGATGAGACAAACGTAAATAATATTATTGTCAAACCAAACAACAAAACAAAAGTAAAAATAGTGTAAGACATGGTTCAAAGCTTAATGTAAATCTAATAAAACAAACTGATTCTGCGCTCAATGCGTTGGAGATGTTCTTCAGTGTTCAAGTTTTCCTTCTCCGCATCAGATAACTTATCGTATGATGCTAACTTTCTGTTGAGAGATGGTTTGATAATGTTCAAATCTGATGTCAAAATTTTTGTAACATACTTCTTTCTCAATTCATTTAGTTGTATTTGTTGGTCATCACTGTCTGCGAATTCAGGCTCCAAACCCACAATCCATTTATTCGGATCCCCACCTTTATATGTTTCCATGTGTTTCATAAGGAATAACCCACAATCTATGTAGTTTTCCTTTGTCATCCATTCCATAGACGATCGAACTATGATTGCACTCTTCATTGAATTTCTTCTTGGATGATTCCAAGCATCAATGTACAGAGTAAACAATATTTTCTGGAATAAATATGATATGTGATCAGAATATAGTATATGATCCTGGTTAAATTAAATATATATGAAATTTTGTTACCAGATCGTTAGGCACGTTTCCATAAAGCACTTCAATCGACTCTTCACGGTAAATGTTGTCTATGATTACACATTCGGATTTTATGAAATCAAAGACAATAAGGTAGTAATGTTCATTGTCAAGCACGGGGAAGAATACCTGATGTACATAATAAAATTGGTTGAACATAGTTTTGTGTGAAACAAGTTAGTTAATGTAAATTGATTGAATAAATGAAAAGGACTTACAAGGTCCACATCTTTGAAGCTTGTGCATTGTTTGAATTTTTCGATATGCTCATTCATGCGATCAACAAACCTTTTGTATCGCTGCTCAATACAAATCGCCTCATCCAGTATGAAGTTGCTCTGGAATTAAAATATGTAGATTATTGGATCATTTAAAATAAGCATACGACATAAAAATTAATTTTACCAGAAGTGTGCAGGATAAAAACATCCTTGATGGTGACTTCTTATTTCTGCGTAGTTCCTGATGGTTTAGAAGAGTAGCCCAAATGTCTAATATTGTTACATGGATTTTGGATCCAGGAATCATACTCTCAAAAATTCCCCTATGTCCGCTATCTCCAAAAGTTGATTCAAATACAAGATCCCTAAATTACAATTAGTTTTCATCAATAAGTATATAGTTACTGTGATTCTTTATTTACTGTAGAATAGATATATTGATTTAGAAATGTACCATTCCTCGTCCAGCCCTGCGAAAATCCAACCGGACACTCTGTCCTCGATTGGTCTAAGAACTTTGTTTGGATCAACGACCCTATTAAAATAAGGTGATCTAATTTTCTCGGTTAGTTGCACCAATCTTCTTGTCCGTCTTGGTGCCACAACAGTGACAGGACTAACCACCAATCTTGATGTCCGTCTTGGTGCCACAATAGTAACAGGAACCGCGTTTACATCATCAATTTTGATATTTGGTTCGACATGATCCGATGGAGTTGAAAGCCTTGTAGAGGTCGCAAATGCCGATTCTAACATCATGTCAAAAGCATCTGCATTAAGAATTTGTGTAAAAGGTGTACACACAACATCAATAAGTGGCTCATCTGCCATTTGAGCTTCCGTAAACTGATCAACTTTAGTTTCAGCTGTATTATCTCGGACTGGCATAACAGGTGTCGCGGCTCCATTGAAAAATGTCCCAGCATGAGAGTCAACAGATGTTGAAAAATCTGGCCAAGCCAGATTGAATTCGTGATGCCTTTTAGTTACTAACATGCGCAGTTCGACAGAATCTGGAAACTTCTTTACACCTTGCATCAACAACTTCTGTATAGCTCGCATTGCATTGTCGCATGCATTGAATTCGATGTTAATTTCGCTCATAATATCCTGGAAAGAAGCATGGCATAAGTAGAATGCTATAAAAGTGATAGCAGGAAATGGTAAAACAAATATGCTGAAATACTAATTTTCGATTTGGTTTTATGTTGAATTAGTAAAAGCACAAAAGTCACACATATCCCGATAAGGTCACATATACTAAAGTTCTTTAATAATAGTAAACAAATAATGGTTTTACATGGTATAACGTGTGTAAAAGAACTAGCACATGGAACACATTTAGTGAATCAGTTTACTAAATAAAGCACTAAAATCACGAATTTTACCATGATTAACATTAGTAATAAACAAAATGGCATCATAAATTTGTTAAAATGTATAGTTTCATTACCTTCAAGTTGTTATCTGCATCATTTTCACTTTGTGATGTTTCTTGAACTACATGTTCAATAAAACCAGCAGGAGATTTACAATCTCTTTCAGATCCAGCAGCATCATCGTCCTCGCCATCTTCTGTTTTGGAATTTCCGTATGTGAATTAAAGATTTGTATAATTTATATGCTTAATACTATTCAAATAGTTTGAAAATGCTATAATATACCTTGTTTAGTGTGGTTCATGCTCATGTGTTGTGATGATATGATTACATTTCCGAAACCTCCTTTAGACAACTCTTCTAACTCCCTCTTATCTAACATGTCTGTTGTCCAATACATCATTCCAGTAGTTGGACTTTGAAATGTGGCATCCTCAACTTTTGTGCAACTAAGGTAAAACAACTAAAAAGAATATGTTATTGAAGAAAATATACATATATAAGCATCTTTAAGCATGTTTTGATATATTTCAGAAAATGTGTTTACCAAAAGAAATACAATGGGACCACTGTAAACGCACTTATCGTCCAATCTTCTCCACATCATACGACTTGATTTCAGACATGCTACAACAAATCCGCACCAGTCTAATTGTTTGATATCCATATCATCTGGAATATTCTCCAAGAATCCTTGATTGACAGTCCCCATCGTTGGATACTCAATCATCACAGATACAAACAACACAAGAAAATTCATAATAAAAAAAGGACCAACATTTGTGTCCTTTTGTATCATGTCTACAACGTGTGTTAGTCGTATTCGTTTGACTGATTTTGGAAATTGGGATTTCCAAAGTTTGACAAACTTGTTTCTAGAGTTTGCTCTACAAGGGTTAGACATTGGCATGTCACCCATTGGAATCCCATATATATCATGTACCGTCTCCCTTGTCACAACAAGTCTCTTGTCCTTTACACGAATCGAATTGGTATTTGGGTCATAGTTGTCGACAACCCAATAACATATCCTACGCGGCAGTTTTTCTAATTGTATATTTAAAGCGGATCCAAAACCAATAGACTCTACACACTTTCTTTGATCATTGTTCAGCAATGCCATGGTTTTGGTAATGTGTTCCGGAGGGAACCTGGTGTTCAAATATCTTAAGGAATCTTCCACTTTTCCTGGATTTGCCATTCTAGTTTGCTTTTTCACGATCTTTTGTAACGGAATTGTAACAGGTTGCGGGTTTACAAAATCATCATCATCATCATCATCATCATCATCATTTGGACGCTTTCGAGAATAAAAATCTGATGTAAACTTTGTCCTGCTTTTTTCTGAAAAACCATCCTCATATACATATTATTAACACATAAAAATAAATATAATAAAACATTAAATAATGATTTATGATCATTTCTTTATACTTGATTTTGATATATTGGATTCCATTTCATTGTTGATGGAAATGTCTTTGTTGTTAATGACTGTAGTGTGTTCGCTCTGTTTCCCTGTTGATTGAGATAGAATAAAAATTATCAAAAATAATTAACAATAATACAAAGACTTAAACAGAAGCATATTTATTAGGATTCATTTGACAAAAAAGTACTGGTAACACCTGAATTATTTCTACTAACATAATTATTTTGTTACGTAGTTTTTGTCACTACTCTAAAGTTGCCACCATAAACAGTAACAACACTTGAAGCACTAAAACAACTAATATCATTAAGAACAAAAGGTGTAAAACTTGAATAAATAATGTCAGTTCCAGAGTAAAAACACACCAACAACATTTTGTCAATCACTACTGTCCTGAATCACCATAAATGAAAACCAAGAAGATTATCAAAAATTACTTACTTTGTGAGTCTGGATGAGGTTCCGATACACTTACAGACTCCATAAGTCCAAAATTTCTAACTCCAGAGCAAAACACAGATGAAATTATGGCTGATTGCTAAATTTTGGCATGAACCCTCCGACTAGAAACTCTTTATGTAGCTTATCAAGCCAATGAATCTTTATAGAACCATTATACCAGAAAAATCCGTAGTAGAATATCTTGAATTTAATCATATCCAATCTCCAATTAAAAACCATCGATTCTTCTTTATCAATTTCCATCCCGAAATTATGAAGCTCGTTATGGACCCTTACAGCAGAAGTTAAAGCTCTTAGCACATAAACAATAATTTGATTATACCCAATATCTTGAGTTTAATCATATCCAATCGGCAATTAAAAACCATCGATTATTGTTTCTCAATTTCCATCCTGAAGGGTTTTTTTTGGGCGAAAATTATGGCCGGGAAGAGATGCATCCAATGCGTGGTTGATATCCTAAATAATTGATGAAGCTCGTTATGAACCCTTCAAGCAGAAATTGAAATAACGTTGAATTTGATTACATCGAAATATCTTGTAAAATACGATTGCCTTTTCAAAATCAATCTCTAATCTGATGGCTTCTTTTGGGCGCGGAAATTAGGGCAAGGAATAAATGAAGAGGTGTGATATAAATGGGATACGAGATATGAACTTTATTAAATGACATATATATTTGTAACGTATTTATCTTCTTTCATCTTTTAAATTAATAATAATTGCCATATATACGTTATAACAATTGAATCTAATATTTTTAAGGAACCACATACCTTCTCACCCTTCGCACATAAACTTCCTTCGTACTTGATCTCTTCGTACTTGATCTCTTAAGATATTTGAACACCAGGTTCCCTCCGGAACACATTACCAAAACCATGGCATTGCTGAACAATGATCAAAGAAAGTGTGTAGAGTCTATTGGTTTTGGATCCGCTTTAAATATACAATTAGAAAAACTGCCGCGTAGGATATGTTATTGGGTTGTCGACAACTATGACCCAAATACCAATTCGATTCGTGTAAAGGACAAGAGACTTGTTGTGACAAGGGAGACGGTACATGATATATATGGGATTCCAATGGGTGACATGCCAATGTCTAACCCTTGTAGAGCAAACTCTAGAAACAAGTTTGTCAAACTTTGGAAATCCCAATTTCCAAAATCAGTCAAACGAATACGACTAACACACGTTGTAGACATGATACAAAAGGACACAAATGTTGGTCCTTTTTTTATTATGAATTTTCTTGTGTTGTTTGTATCTGTGATGATTGAGTATCCAACGATGGGGACTGTCAATCAAGGATTCTTGGAGAATATTCCAGATGATATGGATATCAAACAATTAGACTGGTGCGGATTTGTTGTAGCATGTCTGAAATCAAGTCGTATGATGTGGAGAAGATTGGACGATAAGTGCGTTTACAGTGGTCCCATTGTATTTCTTTTGGTAAACACATTTTCTGAAATATATCAAAACATGCTTAAAGATGCTTATATATGTATATTTTCTTCAATAACATATTCTTTTTAGTTGTTTTACCTTAGTTGCACAAAAGTTGAGGATGCCACATTTCAAAGTCCAACTACTGGAATGATGTATTGGACAACAGACATGTTAGATAAGAGGGAGTTAGAAGAGTTGTCTAAAGGAGGTTTCGGAAATGTAATCATATCATCACAACACATGAGCATGAACCACACTAAACAAGGTATATTATAGCATTTTCAAACTATTTGAATAGTATTAAGCATATAAATTATACAAATCTTTAATTCACATACGGAAATTCCAAAACAGAAGATGGCGAGGACGATGATGCTGCTGGATCTGAAAGAGATTGTAAATCTCCTGCTGGTTTTATTGAACATGTAGTTCAAGAAACATCACAAAGTGAAAATGATGCAGATAACAACTTGAAGGTAATGAAACTATACATTTTAACAAATTTATGATGCCATTTTGTTTATTACTAATGTTAATCATGGTAAAATTCGTGATTTTAGTGCTTTATTTAGTAAACTGATTCACTAAATGTGTTCCATGTGCTAGTTCTTTTACACACGTTATACCATGTAAAACCATTATTTGTTTACTATTATTAAAGAACTTTAGTATATGTGACCTTATCGGGATATGTGTGACTTTTGTGCTTTTACTAATTCAACATAAAACCAAATCGAAAATTAGTATTTCAGCATATTTGTTTTACCATTTCCTGCTATCACTTTTATAGCATTCTACTTATGCCATGCTTCTTTCCAGGATATTATGAGCGAAATTAACATCGAATTCAATGCATGCGACAATGCAATGCGAGCTATACAGAAGTTGTTGATGCAAGGTGTAAAGAAGTTTCCAGATTCTGTCGAACTGCGCATGTTAGTAACTAAAAGGCATCACGAATTCAATCTGGCTTGGCCAGATTTTTCAACATCTGTTGACTCTCATGCTGGGACATTTTTCAATGGAGCCGCGACACCTGTTATGCCAGTCCGAGATAATACAGCTGAAACTAAAGTTGATCAGTTTACGGAAGCTCAAATGGCAGATGAGCCACTTATTGATGTTGTGTGTACACCTTTTACACAAATTCTTAATGCAGATGCTTTTGACATGATGTTAGAATCGGCATTTGCGACCTCTACAAGGCTTTCAACTCCATCGGATCATGTCGAACCAAATATCAAAATTGATGATGTAAACGCGGTTCCTGTTACTATTGTGGCACCAAGACGGACATCAAGATTGGTGGTTAGTCCTGTCACTGTTGTGGCACCAAGACGGACAAGAAGATTGGTGCAACTAACCGAGAAAATTAGATCACCTTATTTTAATAGGGTCGTTGATCCAAACAAAGTTCTTAGACCAATCGAGGACAGAGTGTCCGGTTGGATTTTCGCAGGGCTGGACGAGGAATGGTACATTTCTAAATCAATATATCTATTCTACAGTAAATAAAGAATCACAGTAACTATATACTTATTGATGAAAACTAATTGTAATTTAGGGATCTTGTATTTGAATCAACTTTTGGAGATAGCGGACATAGGGGAATTTTTGAGAGTATGATTCCTGGATCCAAAATCCATGTAACAATATTAGACATTTGGGCTACTCTTCTAAACCATCAGGAACTACGCAGAAATAAGAAGTCACCATCAAGGATGTTTTTATCCTGCACACTTCTGGTAAAATTAATTTTTATGTCGTATGCTTATTTTAAATGATCCAATAATCTACATATTTTAATTCCAGAGCAACTTCATACTGGATGAGGCGATTTGTATTGAGCAGCGATACAAAAGGTTTGTTGATCGCATGAATGAGCATATCGAAAAATTCAAACAATGCACAAGCTTCAAAGATGTGGACCTTGTAAGTCCTTTTCATTTATTCAATCAATTTACATTAACTAACTTGTTTCACACAAAACTATGTTCAACCAATTTTATTATGTACATCAGGTATTCTTCCCCGTGCTTGACAATGAACATTACTACCTTATTGTCTTTGATTTCATAAAATCCGAATGTGTAATCATAGACAACATTTACCGTGAAGAGTCGATTGAAGTGCTTTATGGAAACGTGCCTAACGATCTGGTAACAAAATTTCATATATATTTAATTTAACCAGGATCATATACTATATTCTGATCACATATCATATTTATTCCAGAAAATATTGTTTACTCTGTACATTGATGCTTGGAATCATCCAAGAAGAAATTCAATGAAGAGTGCAATCATAGTTCGATCGTCTATGGAATGGATGACAAAGGAAAACTACATAGATTGTGGGTTATTCCTTATGAAACACATGGAAACATATAAAGGTGGGGATCCGAATAAATGGATTGTGGGTTTGGAGCCTGAATTCGCAGACAGTGATGACCAACAAATACAACTAAATGAATTGAGAAAGAAGTATGTTACAAAAATTTTGACATCAGATTTGAACATTATCAAACCATCTGTCAACAGAAAGTTAGCATCATACGATAAGTTATCTGATGCGGAGAAGGAAAACTTGAACACTGAAGAACATCTCCAACGCATTGAGCGCAGAATCAGTTTGTTTTATTAGATTTACATTAAGCTTTGAACCATGTCTTACACTATTTTTACTTTTGTTTTGTTGTTTGGTTTGACAATAATATTATTTACGTTTGTCTCATCTAATTTTAAGTGACCAATCTTCAATTACAATATTTTTTATTAATTTATTATTTGTGTTTGATATTTACTACAATTTACCTTTTTAATACCATTTACACATTTTTTTACTATCAATTTTGAAACAAAGTTACAACAATATTGTTATTAAATGCAACTTTTGATTATTCATCACACTTACATTTGACTATTCAGGACACTTACATTACACTATTCATGACACTTACACTCCCATGGAAAACAAATAACAAAAATTTAATTGAAGGAATTCTTCTTATCACTAACTTTAAGCCATCATGACAGTTAAAACTGATTTCATATTTTATGGCAATTACACCTTCCAATCACATTCTGCAATCTAGATCTACGTATGACTCACCTGCATTAAAAACATAAAATTAAAAATAAAATTTGATTCACACAACATTTATCACTTATCATGTATGCGTTCCAGCGACCACAACATTTGATTCACACATAGATACTAATATCTTAAAAATAAAAATCCTCTAAGTCTCTGCATTAAAAATAAAATGCTTCTAAATTTTAAACTCAAAGACTCACGTTAACTCGTAAAGTAACATTGCTATCTTGAATACTTAATAATTAAGAAGAAAAAATAAACCAAACTATTTAGAAGCATAGTCATTTGCTTTTTTCTTGCAAGTGCGAGCATTATGATCAACATACTCCCCGCATCGTCCACATTTTCTCGAACCCTTTTTAGCCTTCAAAATCGCCATCTCTTTTTCTCCTATCATCCTTTTCTTAACCGGCCCACTACCTTTGTTTCTAATTCCTTCTGGAATTTTAACATTTACTTCATCTCGCTTCTCGACACCAAACACCGCTTCAATGAAGCCCTTGTTCGTCATGGGTTGTACACTTCTTGTATCTTCATCAACTTCTTGCGTCATCTCCCTTAGTTTCTCTCGATACAACTTCAACTTTTCCATATCAGAAACTAGCCGATCAACACAATAGTCAACAGAATAGTATATGTCCCGGATCATTGATTTAAAATCATCATTTGCATCATCTTTAACAGACTGACACATATTATACCCACTTGATGGCGTCGATACCACATCCTTTGTCCATCTTCTTGAAACATATTTTCTAGGGAAATGTTCTACTCCTGACATCCTTAATACATAAAAGCAGTGTCTACATAGGCACCCGGTTAATTCAAAGCGTAAACAAGAGCAAGTAACTGTGCAATCAGATTTCATGAATGAAACCTGTCAATATAACAAAGTATTAAAATTCGTTTTCTTTAAAAAAGTTTCTAGATACAACCAAGTACAATTTACATACCTCAAAAACACCAAAATGCTTAACGTCTTTATCAGTATCTTTGATGCTGAATTTATTAATTCCGTCATATTCTTCGACTTTAATTGAGTAACATGTAAGCATGGATGCCATTATCTCCTTTTGGATTTCAAAGAAAACAGTTCGTGTAAAGGTCTCAGATGCCTCCTCTTCAATCAACAAGTTTGTTTTAATATCAGGATTCGTGTAGCGGGAGTCATGATTATTTTTACGTTGAACACAACGTTGTGCTTCCATTGCCGTTTCAAAATGACCGAGAAACTCAATTAAATGCAAATCTGTATTTGTCATCAACCCATAGAAATAATTTTCACCTTCACATCTTGATGTCGTTCGCATTAACCCTGACAAGTGGCAATCCTTGAAATAGGCAGGAATCCATTTATCACGAATTGCAAACATATCTTTAAACCATTTGTTATCATTTAACTCATACTCATCCATTATCCTTTGCCATTCTATTTCAAACTCGCTTGTATTGATTCGTTCATTCCATATAACATTGTTTAATCGTTGCAAAACTCCCGTCTTTGACATATGGGAACCCAACTGAAAAAGCAATGGGCAATCATCATTAGTTTTTCTGACAAAAAATGAATCATTTCATTTATAAGTACCAACTTACACTTCCAAATACAATGTCATTCCAACTAAATTGACTTATGTCTAGTGATTCAAGTAACCAGCACTTACACTTCCAAATACATATGATTGTAAGTGATGCTTGAACTAAGTTTGTTTGATAACAGCTGTTTCAATAGAAAAAATTGAATCATCTCATTTATATATTCAGTTACATCTACATTAATATTCCCATATCTACATATGATTTTAAGTGATGTTTCAACTAAGTATTTTTTGGCAACAGGTGCTTCAATAGAAAAAATTGACCCACTTCATTTATATATACTAACTTACACTTCCAAGTGCAATGTGATCCCAACTGAATTGAGTTATGCCTAATGATTCAAGTACTGACACTTAAGTGCTTCATGCAAAACATGATTCAGTCACACCTACCTTAATATTCCTATATTTATATATGATTATACATGACGCTTCAATTAAGTACTTTTTTGGTCCAAGGCGCTTCAACAGAAAAAAAAAAAATAGAATCATTTCATTTTTACATACTAACTTACACTTCCAATCAAATTATGATTCCATATGAATAGATTTCTAGCTAGTGATTCAAGTACCGACACTTATGTGCTTCATGTAACACATCATTCAATTACACTACCTTACTATTCCTATGTATAGATACGATTTTAAGTGATGCTTCAACTAAATTTGTTTGGTCAAAGGTGCTTCAATAGAGTTGAGATCCAAGCAGAATGTGATTATAACAGAATTGAGTTATGCCTAGTGATTCAAGTACTAGCACTTAAGCGCATCAGCCAAAACATGACTCAGTCACACTAACTTACATACGATATTATCCGATGCTTCAACAAAGTTTATTTGGTAACAGGTGCTTCAATGCAAAAACTTAATCTTTTCATTCATATATACTAACCTACACTTCCAAGTACAATGTGATCCCATACTTAAATGAGTTATGCCAAGTGATTCAAGTACTGGCACTTATGTGCTTCATGCAAAACATGATTCAGTCACTCTAACTTAATATTCCTATACGTGCATACAATATTAACTGATGCTTCAACAAATCTTGTTTGGTAATAGGTGCTTCAATAGTTAAAATTGAACCATTTCATTTGAATATACTAACTAACAGTTCTAAGCAAAATGTGATTCCAACTGAATTGAGTTTTGCCCAGTGATTCAAGTTCCAACACTTAATTGCTTCATGCAAAACATGATTCAGTCATGAATACCTTAATATTTCTATACATACATACGATTTTACGTGATGCTTCATCTAAATTTCTTTTGGTAACAGGTGATTCAGTTCTTAGGTGATTCACTTCCAAGCTACTTGTGGTTCCAACTGAATTTAGTACTAGAACTAAAGTGCTTCATGCAAAACGTGATTCGGTTTCACTAACTTAATATTCTTCAATGCCTATACGCTTTTAATACTAATTTTAAGTGTCGATTCAGTTACACTAACTAAATATTCCCATATATACATACTATTTTGAGGGTATATTGTTTACCTTGTCGGTGAACTTTTGTGATATGTGCCACATACACAATCGATGCCTACAAGATGGTGAGAAAACTGCTGGAATCGCTTGCTTGATGGCTGCGTCTTGATCTGTCATCAACACAGTTGGTTCTCGTCCAAAAGTCGTTTTAAAAGCCATTAACAACCATTTATACGATTCTATTGATTCACTAGAAAGCAGCCCAACTGCAAAAGTGACACACTTTTTATGATTGTCAATACCTGTAAATGGCACGAAAATCATGAAGTACCTGTATAACAAATATACAATATAAATTACACAAGTTATTACCACCGTTATTTTAACAACCATGATATTTGTTTAATATGAAAAGATATTATGTACTTGTTTGTTCGGTATGTGGCATCAAATCCGACAATATCTCCAAATGCTGAATAATTTCGCTTTGCTTCTTCATCCGCCCAAAATAAACCACACAACTTTCCCTCACTGTCCACACGATATTCAAAAGAAAAGTCGTGTAAATATTCTTTTTTTTTATTGAGCTTGTCAATTACCATGTCCGCATCATTTTCACCAATGTATTCTATCCAATCCCTTTTCAAATTTTTGCATTCAACTTCAGTTGCCCCGACGTTGAGAAATCCTCCTTGTGTTTGCTTCAATATCTTGAATGCTCTAACCGGACCAATGTTTATATCTGATACATCATGAATAAGTTGTTTTTGTTGATATGTAAGCCTCCTGTTACTTTTCAAAAAATGGAAGTCTTCTGGATTAACCAACTCATGATTGTGTTTCTCCTCAAAATGTCTGACTACCCAAACATTTTCATCATTGAGCTTCAATCGGATACAAGCTTTACATCCTTTTCTGTGACTTGGCCGATTTCGTCTTTGTTTGCTCCGGTCTATCAAACTATCAAATGAACGTTTCTGTTTTTTTTTCTCGCCCTCCCTATTACATAATATGTACCTACGCGAGTACCCATCTCCTGTTTTCGATTGCTCTGTAGTACCTTTTCGTATCTCGAACCCACTTTTACGTGCATATTCTCTATAAAACAACAGTGCGTCATCATACAATGGAAATAATTGCCCTACAAATGGTTTCAACTCAGTTTTTGGTGTCCAGGTTTTTTCAACTAGTACACCTTGAACCCCATCAGAGTGAAAACTTGATGGTTCCGATTCACACATATCTGCAATAAATAAACAAAAAATTAATGTTATTGGTGTCTTTTTAGTGCGTAATTGACAAGGTTTATTCAAGCTTCTTACCCTTTTCAACAACTTGAAGACATTGCATCTCATCAGATTGAATACATGTTTGTTCCGAATCAAACATATCTGCAACACATATCAAGTTTTATGTCGGATTCAGTGAAATGCTAACTTACAAAAATTAACAAACTCAATATGATATAACTGTTACAACACTAGTTCACAATATACTCCAATCAATTCACCATCAGTATACC